CTATTTTTAATAATCAAAATGTGGCAAAATAACTTATATCATAGAATTACCAATGATTCTCAATAATAGCTTCGAATGCCCTAGCAATTCTATTATTATTTGTCTTTCTCACCCTCCTAATTGCACTAACGCCAACCCAACCTTACTAATATAATGGCATGCCAAATGACTAAGTCGATTTTCTATAATCACTAAGTCTAACTTAAATTTCAGAATTTGCATGCAAGGGTTTTCAATGCATTGTTCTTCCATTTTCAATAGGACTTCCCAATCTTCTTCTTTAACCAACTCAGCATTTGTTTGGTTTTCCTCTTTCTTATACTCAACAGGACAATCAAGAAGAATAATACGTGGGTTGACAAATTACATAAATTTAAAAGCCCAATATCTGTTTATTCTAGCTTAAATAAATCATATAAATAGAATAAAACCCAACATCTGTTTATTTTACCCAAACAAATCACATAAATAGAAAAGCACAATATTTGTTTATTCTGACTTAAACAAATCACATAAATAGAATAAGCCCAATATTTGTTTATTTTTATATCAAGAGAACAAAAAACAAGCAACCCAATTTGTCATAAAATCATAGAGCCTAATTAATAATGAATGCAAAACAGTTTAATCGAACCAGCTCAAAAATCCTTTAATACATTGAGCCTAAATAATATAAATGGCTTAAGTATGAGATAGACAGTAACTTAATTAAAAAGTAGTATCATGCTCCAAGCATGTAAACAAAAATCTATTTGTTTCAACAGACGAAATACTCCCAGACATATGTTATATAAGATTCAAACAATTTTTAAATTTGATAAAAATATATATCAAAATTGCATTTGATTCATAATTCTCTAAATAACTTTTAAAAAATATTTTAGAAATATATAAAAAATTGTAAATATACAAATTTTAGAACTACACATCAAATATGCTAGCTAAGGATTATTCTAACTCTGATACTACATGTTAAAATTCCCTAACACATATATATATATATTTATATGTACACATATAAAAATACTAAACCACAACGAAAGCAAAAATAAATAAGTATTGAAAAATATCAACTACTTTCAACAATAGCAATGTACTTTCGTTCGTTGGTGAAAGATTTGGTAGCCAATATTTGATATTTTATCAAAATTGGAACTTTTCACCATTACTAACAAGAGTTCTAAACAAGAATAATTATGATAGATTAACTTACCAAATACTCATCCAAGTAGGATTATAACACTAATCTCCAACTATAGCAAACATCAAGCTTTTTTTCACGAGTTTTTCAAGTTTTTCCTTTATGAGTTCTTTCAACCCAAATAGCAATTCACAATGATGGTAATAAGATGTTTTTAAAAACTTGGTTTATATTAGGAACCATAGGTTTTCTTTTATGAGCAAAACTCCTCCCATCAAAGACTTAAGTGCTTCCTCCATTACCATTCACATATATTATCAGATAATGGATTTTTAAAAAAAGATTCTTATTATCTTTTTACAAAAACTAAAATATCAAAAAAGATTCTTATTATCTTTTTACAAAAACTAAAATAAAATTTTAACCTCGTTGCCCAATTTGTAAATAAAAGTAAAGTACAAAGTTTTATACAAGAAAAAAATAACGTTACATTGCTATTCAAGAAAATATCATACCACAAAAGATTTATGTGAAGTTTACCAAAAAATAATAACTTAAGCAAAATAATCATTTAAAGAGACAACAATGATTAGGAGATAAAAACCATCTAAATTATTGTTGCCACTTGCCATGCACATTCTCCACAAATCCATGTGCAGAACAATTATCAATTGTCTCAAAAGTTTAAACGGATAGAAGTATTTAAATTCATAAGATTATAACTTACGTTTTAGCTTTTTTCCATTTAATTTCCTCCAAGAGCATTGGGTCTATTCTCTTCAAAGACCCTCGTGACTGGGACCAACCTTTTTTTCATCTTTCAACATTAGTAGCCTTGAAATTTCCAAATGTCTTGATTTCGGATGGTCCAAAAATATATCATGTAGTGCTTGACCAATAAATTTTAAGATAAGAAAAGTGGTTGTTGATGTAGCAGTGAACAGACCTAATGTCGGAGTTGATTGTGAAAGGAGGGGTGTTTTGGCACAGCTGAAGCAAAGTAATCGCACCTTGCAATCTTTAGAAGCTTTAATTTTCTTTTCTTCCACCAGCATTTCTTGCATTATAATTTCCAACAAAATGCTTATATCTATCTTTATGAATATTTTTATGCATCAGCTGCTTCACCTCAAGGAGATTCTTTGACTAGCAAGGATTGGAGTGATTGATTTAACGGGAAGGTTGTGATTGATTTAAGCCATATATATAACTCAACAACAGCAAAGAGTATATATATAGTAGCTCTTAAATTCTATCAATTCTCTTTGAAAAATTCTATACAAATAGAAAAATTTTAAGTTGTGATTGTTTGTGTGATTTTGTTCTAGACTAATGTATTAACTCCTAGTTTTAATCTTATAAGGTTACTATACCTTTCGCATTTAATATTTGTATAAGATATTAATTTACTATTGTCAAACTTAATTTGTTAAATATATTCAATCAAAAAGATTGTCGTACAGTAAATTAATTATAGAAGGATCACGTCAAGTCGGATAAATTTAATTGATATTTTTAAAATTTTAATTTAGTGCAGTTTGTTTTTTTTAATTTTTTATTTATTTTTTAGTATTAAATATATTATGTTAGTATTTTTTAAATTCTAAATTTATTATAAACTTAAGTTAAAAAATTATGTAATAATAAAATAATTTAATGATCTGAGGTACCCCAACTAGGAAAATCCTATATGGAGCCTCGTATGAGCTGGGTCAGGCTCGCGAACAGGCCTAAAATGAGCCCAGCCAAGTTCAAATATTTTAACATTTGGTTCTGCGGCTCACAGTTCCAATCAAGTTTGCAACCTTTAATAGGATTTTATTTATTTATTATTTATTTAGGATAATAGTATTTTTCATTAACATTTATTTATAGTTTATCAGTTAAGATGAGATATTACCAATTTATTTTATGATTTCTTGAGAGTGTTTGCTTTATATAAAAACTAAACTCTCTAATTAAACTTTATAATTAAGTTAAACTTAATTAAAATTTTCAAAAATTGAATTCCTTCGAAAAACATTTTTCTTTACTTCTGTTTTTTCGAATTGACACATAACATATTTTTAATATAAGAGTTTTGGGGTCAATCTTTAACTTAGCCTCAATCAAGTTTCGAACTCCTTATTTGAGGTGATTAGGATTTAGTGTGTAGTGCACCCATGGATTAGTACATAGCAAAGATTAATGCCAAATTTACGATATACTATGGCTTCATGCATATTGAATGTTATCACGGTTTATATTTGATAGTACTATCGGTGTATAATTTTAATATAGTACTATTTGTGAATCAAGTGTTACCATATTGTTAATAAATAAATTTAAAAGTTAAAAATTTTCAAGAAATATTAATATCCTTAAAAAAATTTATTTAGAAAAATTTTGAACTTTTACCTTTTTACATAGATGATAAGGCAATTAATAATATTTAGAATTTATACATTGAAAATGTATCAAATTCGTCAAAATATTTGAGAGGTCTCTATACTTGTGTAATTTGTTCAGTTTAGTCTCTCTACTCCAATTTGAAGTAACTTAGTCACTTGATTTTAAGAATTATTTTAATTTAGTCCTTTTTCCCAACGACATTCAATTTAGCCATTAAATATGATGATGTCAATGCCACGTCAGTATTGATGTGTCACATATTTGTTAATGTGGCGATGTGGGATAAAGGCATATGGCATGTTAATAGGCTACCATGCTAACATGGCAATGCCATGTCAACATTGAGACTTAAGTTGCTGATGTGGCACCACCATGAGATTAACACTTCACTCTTTTCTTTTTCAAAATATGATATGCTCTTGTTAAAGTTCGAATCCAAAACTTCTAGTAAGAATATTAATCTCTTTACCATCATGTCTAAAGCCTTATTTTTATTAATTATAAAAAAAAAGAAAAGGTAGACAAAGAGAAGGGAAAGAAAAAATAAAAAAAAAAGATGCTTTTATAACTAGAGATTTGGGTAGTGTAAAAAGACTCCAAAACGATGTAATTTTTTTTTTAAAAAAACAAGAGTAAAAATGAGTATAAGTAAGGTTTTAGGCATAATGGTAAAGGGTTTAGTGTTTTTACTAAAAGTCCTAGGTTTGAACCTTAACAAGAGCACATTAGATTTTAGAGAAGAAAAGAGTGACATGTCTATCTCTTGGCATGCCACATGGTAACCTATTAACATGCCATGTGGCTTCAACATGCTTTAAAAGATGACAAGGCATTGCCACATAAGTATGCCTTTATCCCACATCACCACTTCAGCAAAAATATGCCACGTTAGCAATTGGCGTGGTGCTAATGCCATCATATTTAATAGCTAAATTAGACGCTGTCAAGAGAAAAGACTAAATTAGAGTAATTTTCAAAATCGAGAGACTAAATTGTTTCAAATTGGAGTAAAGACATGGGTATTGGGATCTCCCGTATTTTGAGCATATCAAATTATATAAATCCTATATATAAACATGCATAAATGTGAAAATATATCTCAAGGATGAAATTTACAATTTACAAATGACATCATATTCCAATAATTATTCTTAGTTTATTACTTTAAGTTAACAGTGCACTGACTTAATCTTTGCCTTTAGGAGAAACATTGGAAAAGAGAAGAAGAAAAAAGGGTAGATTGACTAGTTAGTTTTTCTGGGAATAAGTCATAAAAACAGAGGTTTTTTTTTTCTTTAAAAGATTGCTACCTATCCATGGAGGATATGATACATAAAAACAGAGGTTATTCCTCTTTAAATTGCATTTGTAAAATTGCCAATTGGTTAATAGAGAGAATTAGTAATAGTCAGCAGAAGATAGAGAACAACTATTCCTGATATCCCCACACATATACTTGGTTATTAGGAAAATCTCCAACAAGGTGCTTGCCATGTTCCAAGAACAGTTCCATAAAGACAGTTGGAAATATTTTTCAGCTGCAACATAAATGATTTTACATCTCATGTAATTACCATAATCCAATGAGTTCCTACAAAATGCAGCCTAAAATACATTGGAAATTAGGAGAAAGAGGGAGGGGATGAAGTGCTGTGCTATCTCTTTTTGTTTATCTACTATGTAGTTTTTGATGACCTAGTACTACTAGCAATAATATACACAAAGGAATAATACTACAAAAGAAAGGCTAAGGCAAACGAACGTTTTCTTCCTCTTCAATCTCGTTATCATCTCCTTGAGTGGAACACAAAGGAGATGAAGGTAAAGAAGAAACAGCAGAAGAATAACTAGTGGAATCAGAACAAGAAGTAGGATTAAGACTCACAAGCAGATCGATAAAGGCACAGATTATGAATCCATGATTGGTCTTGCCATTCACCTTCAAATACCACCCCAACAACTCTTCCAAGATCTCCCAATCTTTCAGCCCATGCGTCTCCACCATCTCTTCCATGGACTTCCTAAAGTCAACGTACGGATCAGCGGACTCCATAGCTAGAACTACACTTTCTTTGAATGGAAGTCCTCCGGTTTTGGCCTCTTCCAAGATCGAACTAGTGTCACCACCAGGCTCGAAGAACAGCCTCTCTGATCGCACGCCCCGTACAACCATCTCCAATGACTCCCCATCGAACTCCTGATCTGACTCTGTGGAAAAGCTTGCCGACTCCGGGGAGTTTGTGAACCATGACTCCGGCGTTTCAACCCCGTCGATGGGTTCAAAGAACACTGAGTTGACAGTCTTGAACACATCATCTCCTGCTCGGAAGGAAAGGGTCTTGGGGTGCTTGCATGAGGGCCACTGCCAGGGCTCCCTTGCTTCTTTGTGCTTGAATAGAGCAGGGAGCTTCATTTTCTTGCCCATTAAAATGGGTTTTCTCTTCTTTCTTCTTGGTTTGGTTTGTGAGTAGCTGTGTCTTTTAGGTTGTTGGGGTATTAATGGGAGCAGATAGAGTTGAAGGACTAAGTTTTAGAGGAGAGGTGAGGAGATGAAAGGGGAGATGGAAAGGAAATGGCGTGCAGGTAGGGCCTATCATGTGTATATTAAATATTCAAGTTTGTCGAATTCAATAGCATTTAATGTCCACCCTCAGAATAACAAAACATAACAGTATTTTTGGCAACTTCAGTTTTATATTTTGTTCAACTCATATTTTTATGCTAATTATAAATAAAACTGATCATTTATATACTCTAGCTGTTCCCTTTATGTTGTAACTGAAGGGCACATACCATATTTTAAAAAGGATTAATTAGAAGTCTAACCTACATGGTAGAAAAGATACTGGCTTGGCTTGTTATAAAACATTCAGTGTATTTTTGCTTTGAGAAACGAAATAAAAAAAAGATATGGAGCATTAAAATAGAGAGAAAATAATTATTTTATACTTTGGTTTATGTAATGAATAAAAAATTATTTTAAAGATATTTAGTTAATTAAATTTTTTTTGACTATTTCTGATGGTTGGTAATAGTCATTTTAAAAGGATCTTAGGATTGTGTATTCCTATTCCATAGGAATGATAACGGTGGGTAGGTTTTTACTCACTCAAAACCTAACTCCGCTCTATGATTTAATATTCAATCTCAAGTCGAGAGAAACATTTATAACTTAGCATCAAACTCTACTGGACACGAAATTTATTTTAATGAATGATTTTAATATAATTTTGGTGAAAAAAACATTTTAAATATAAATTACATGTTAATTAATTATGAATAAATACAGTGTAATAAATATTTCTATATATAAATAAAAAAAATTAACTAGACAATAAAATATATGATTTTTTATATATACCCACCTTAAACCCACCTCGGCTCATCCTTATATCAAGTTAGGACAATATGAAACTCCTCTGAATACATGTCATTTTCCCATCCTAATTTTCAGCACATTTTAAAGAACATGAAATCAATGGGTTTTGGAATAACCATTGTTCGAACCATCTTTCAAAAAAGAAAAATCATTTTTTGAACTAAATACATGTTTCAATTTGTTTGAATTTAGAATATAAGTAGAATAGAATAATCGTTCAATACAAATAAATACGTAACGAGTGTTCTAAAAGTACATTTTAAAATGTTATTTATAATAATATTTTTGCATTAATACAATTGTTGATAATTAATGTGATAATTTCTCATGACTTTGAATGAAAACATGATTAAGACCTTCATAAGTGCCTTACAACAGATAAAACCTAAAAACAAAAAATTTTCGTAGAAAAAATTCAATCGAAACAAAAAAACCCTAACATATTTTTTGTAGTGATTATCTCCACACAAGCCATTTAAAACTAAAATGACGGTTCTTATGCTGTGAGGTGAAAGGCGATACAAGCATAATAACTCTGTTAACCCTTCATATTAGATATAAGGCAATGTGTTTATTAGTAGTAGAGTTTTGCAAGTGTAAAATGGCTTTTGACTTTAGACCCTTTTTGGTTATTATACTACTTTAGAAAGGACATAATGGGTATTTCGAATAATTCAATGTTTGTGGAAAGAAATGGAAAAATCAATAGAAGATATTATTCATGTGAGTTATTAAAGAGCAACGGTTGAATCACACACACTTGTCCTTTCTCATAAATTAAGAGGGAGAAGATTGAGACATTGAAAGATAGTCTCATTTATGAGGTTTGCTTTGCTTCCATGTTCCTCCTTATTCTGTCCCATGACTCATGCCAATTAAATATTCTGCCAAATAAACCCAAAAAGCATAGCACGAATCACCATTCCTGCTCCTTTAACCCACTCCTTCTTTAACCTTCGAATAAGTAATTTACGTTCATGAGCGTATATCATTTTGGTTTTTAGAATTTAAAAAGTAATTTATTGATTTTATGTACTTCCAATATTATAACGAAATAATCCTTTTATTAATATTTTTATTAAATATGATTGTTAAAAATCAACTGACCTTCCGTGTCAAACACTTGATAAACACATGTAATTAATTATATATATATATATAATTACTATCTCAGCACTGCAAAAATCCAAGGAAAAGGAAATAATCCTCCATAAGCCAAAGCCCAAAGACTTATAAAATATTTTTCCCACTCAAACTCTTTTCCAAACACAATCCTAATCTTCAAGCTCTCAGAAAAGCCAAAATCAATATTTCTGCAAGAGAAATACTCAAAATGTTCTGCTAATTGAAGAAGGGTTTTACCATGAATATGCTCATATAGTCATCACAAAGGCTTTCCAGGGATAGCATTATCCAACTTTGATAACCTACTCCACGGCCCAAATTTTGAAAGTTCTAAGGCCCATAGACTGCGGAGAAAATTTAAATCATTTTAAAAAAGTTTCAAATAATTTTTCATCAATAGTTGACCATTGCCCCGTTTTTAATTATTGGGATTACCAACAAGCATAGTTTAATACTTTTCTTTTTAACAACAAATATAACCGACACTTTTAGTTAATGTTTTTCAAATATGAAAATTAATATAAAATTTCAATCTAGTTTTCTCATTGGTGGAATTAGTTCGGACATTTAAGAGAAATCTTTCCACCAAAAATTGATTAATTATATGAAAAATTTTCTCAAAATTTCCAACCTAAGGAAAATCAGGCAAATTTGCATGTGTCTATTCACTTATTTTCAAAACTAATTATTTCATGGATTACGTCATGGGACTACTCCTATGATACTGATCCTCACTCTGGAGCTTCGAGGGTCATTCGGACATTCAAAACAAAATGGTGGGATAAATTCAATGACAGAAAATATAATCTCCAATATCTGCTGACATGGTTCGAAAAGAATCCAAAATTATGCAAAAATCTTCAGACTTCATAGAAAAATGTCAGATTTCTTCAAGCCAAGTCAAATGCCAGTGCAAAACTTGCCCAGGCCAAGACAAAAACTGAATACAAAAGGATCATGGTTGAAATGCTTAGCTCCTTAGATTCAGAAGAAGAACAGGAAGAAGAAGGCACTACTTCATCCAACACCACTGCTGACCTTTCTCAAGATGAAGACTATATTCCATCAACAAGAAAGAAAAATAAAAAATGAGTATAGTAGTAGACTCCCTCTGGCAAGGCACCAGATAGCCCGAGGAACTTACCAAAAGACATTAAAAAGACGACTGCCCGTAAAATTCTATGAAAATTATGCTGATAACAAAAGGTGATAAAAAGTAAAAGAATCTGCACCGACAGACATCAGTAAAAGCAACATCCACCAACAAACAACAGTAAAAAGCAGCACCGACATATAGTAAAAGATCACAAGAAAGAATCTGCACCGACAGACAATAGTAAAAGCAACATTCACCAACAAATGCAAATGTAATTCAAAACAAATGAAATTCAAATTCATACCATGATCTGATTGGTTTTTGGCTGAGAATTGGAGGGTCTTCCCTTTTTATTTCTTTTCCTTTGTCCTTCCGATCTCTTAATTTGGGTAGTATTTTGTCCTGAAAAGGGTGAAACTGATATGATATCAGATATTTTGTAAGAGAGAAATAATTTTGGGGCTTTTTAAGTGTCGGTGATTTATTCTGGGTAGTTTCCTTAGTAACCACATTCAGAATAATATGGTTTTTCTTCTGAAGATGGCTTTTTGGTTTTCTTTCTTGTTTTTCTTTTGTGGATTATTCAATTTTGGTGGTATGATTTTCCCTGTAAAAATTCTCTTGTAAGAAAATCAGGTAATGAATTTGACTCTCCTTTGATATATTCAATATCAAAATCGAATATGCTTACAATTACTTGCCATCTAGCAAAAATCTGTTTTGATGTAATGTTTTGTACTTTTTTTGTAAAACTTTTTTGGCAGATTTACAATCAATACGCAAAAGAAATTTTTAATTTAATAAATCACTTTGAAATTTTGAAATGCATAAAACAATTGATAAAATTTCCTTTTTTATAGTACTGTAATTTTACCTGGCTAGAGTCTAGTGCCTAGAAATGTATTGAACTATTTGCTCTTTTTTCTTTTTGAGTTGTATAAGTATCCCACCATATCATAGTTCTAACGCGTCCATTTTAACTATTTTGGGTGCATCAGGGTCTGCTCGGTGTAAGCATGGGAGTTCTTTTACATGTTTTTTTATTTGTTGGACTATATTAGGAGTATTTGTCCATGGAATAGGATTTTTTTTAAGTCTTTGATATAAGGGAAAGGGAACAACATAGTTATTTAAAGTTATTAAAATCATCGCATTACAATATTAAAAGTACAAGGAGTAATAAGTTTTTTTTTTAATTATAGAAACTAAAATGATATGCAACTCAAAAATTGAGGATCGTCAAATTGATTTACTCCCTTTCGACCATTAGATTTGCATCCCATTTATTTACTAATTTGGATTTAGGACACTTCTCGATCCTTAATTACATCTTTTTTCACATAATTTGACATATTCAAAACACCATTCAAATATTGTCAACAGCTGGCGCAAACCCCTTCTTTCTTTTTCCATTTTCGTGAAAGTTGAAGAATGATTATTTCATTCCATCCTATTCTTTGTTCCTTCCTTATTCTTTTGTTTAGTTTATGAAATGGTCATTTCAAGAGAAGTTGGAGTAACTATTATTAATCCCCTTAGTAACAATTATTCCACAAGCCACGGAACAAATTTAAAATATTTTGGACAAAAATATCCTTAACCATTTTGTCAAATTACTACCCTATATATAATAAAACCTATCACTAGCAAAAAACTTTCCATTTTCCTCTTTTTCTTTCTCTCTACTTTGTCTGCCACTCCATTTCTCTCTCTAAATTTCATCTATCGTCATCGTCTTTCGACAGATTCATAATATCGGCCACGGGGAGCACCATATCAGTGCTCCATTATGTCAACCGTATCTCAAATGATCAATCAACAAAGTGAAAAGAAAAAAAACCATAATATTTAAAAAAAACTTTGAACGATTTACAAAAAGTCAAATAAGTTCTTTTTTTTTATTATATTCGATTAAATTTTTATACTTTTATTTTAAATCAAACAAACTTTCATAACTAACATTTG